CTTGCGCGCGCGCGCACACACACACACACACACACGCACAAAAATAAATAAATAAATAAATAAATAAATAAATAAATAAATAAATAATACTAACTAATAAATACCTGTTCTGCAAATGTCAAATTCTTTCTTGGGTCCTACCAATCATTTAGGAAAGTGTCAGTATTACTGTTAGCATAACATGGCCTCTAGAGAAATCCTGGATCTCCATTAACTACTGGAGCCTAGTACAAATGACTTGCTTCCCTGGAAGCTGAAATGAAGGGTAAGAATCCTCACCCACAGAGAATTCTGTGAATGCATAGCAAGCACCCAGTGGAGGTTACAACCATGAACTGACTTGTGTAAGGTCACATGATTAGAACAGACTGTAAAAAGTATTCTTTACCAGACACATGTCAAACTTACCCTTGTGGTGTATGATCTCTTGAAAAGGAGGCTGAGATTGCCTTTAGGGTATTGTAGTACCCAAAATATACAACTTTACACTATAATCCCCCTACCCCTTTGTCATGTATCTGTGCACCTGAACCCCACCCCTCACCATTGTGTCCTCCCTCAGCCAGGACCCACCTCCTCCTTTGCAACAGCTTTGCCATGACTATCTCTGACTTCCCTTTTTCCAGTACATTTCTCCACCCTAAACCCAGAGAGATCACTGAATTTGCCAGTTGAAGCTCTTCGGTGATGATTTTCGAGAATGGAATCTATTCCCATCTTCATTCTGCCTTCTCTATCTGGGGCCAGTTCTACTGATATTCCCCCCTTGACCGAACCTTGGTGTTCTTTCTTGAAGATTCACCTTTGTCTATCCAACAAGGCAGCCTTTGCATTCCAGAGCTCGGAAACCCTTCCCTTTGGGTTACCCTCAGCTCAGATGCTGCTAACATGGGCTTCTAGCACTTTCCCGGGAGGTCCCACATATCTTTGTATTTAAACCCTCCATCAAGGCCAAGATGACCACAGCTTTACCTGCTACCCTTTCAGAGAAAGATGATTCATGTTGTAAGGCTGATGAAGTTGCGGGGAACAGCTCCAATGTCTCTACCCTTCTACCAGGGACTAGAGCCAGCCTCTCCTGAACCCAAGACTAATGACTGATAGTTGGCATTATTGACAGAGAAAGGGAGGGAGAATGGAAGCTGAGTCCTCCAAACAGGTACTCAGGAATTCAGACATGCCCAGAGAAGATGGTCATCCAGGTGAGCTAGTGTCCGCAGAGGTTGCTTCTTGGAGAGCCTTCTCTGAGTAGACCTCAGGAAGCATAGTGTCCCTCTGAGGGTGCTGCAGCTCAGTGCTTTTCTGTCTACTCTCCCTCATACTTGGTATAACTCTGGCCATTCAAAATTCTCCTAGTAGAGGATATCCAATCCAGGGTGAAGTGTAGGGGCCACAGACTGAGATGTGGTCAGAATTACTGGGTGTCAGTCAAAGACTGAGGAAAAGGGAGGTAACTGACTATAATCTACATGCATGCCTGCTCAGACCTGCTCTGTAACTCACTGCCCAATACTAGGCCCAGGGATTTCTGCTATAATAAATGATTTTAAACTATCCCCACACAGTTATCTTAGCACATTTACCCACTGTTTTCTCAGGATACATTCCTAACCTTGCAATGTCTGATTAAAGGACATTAACTACCACCAAACTGCTCATTATCTCATTGTCTTCCTAATTGCTTCTCAGGTTGCTAATGAGGTGGTGCTAATTTCAGCCACCACCCCCACTCCTGCCTGGCTCCCTTCTCTGCCCTCGGAGATTGCCCTCTGCCTGTCCTGGATCAGTAGGCAAGAAACTACCATCACCAGCCAGATGTCAGTGGGCTGGGAGTGGACTTACTGGCTATTTGCCCATCTTCCTTCATTTGAAGTTGCACTCTGAAAAAAGAAGAAAGCAGTCCTTGGAGCAGAGAGAGAGAGAGAGAGAGAGAGAGAGAGAGAGACAGAGAGAGAGACAGAGACAGAGACGAGAGACAGAGACACAGAGACACAGAGAGCACACCTTACAAAGGGCATTGGGGAGAGGAGTGTTTTATGGGTTTTATGTGTTCTGGGTTTTATGTACATTATCGTGTGACTTTGTGACAAGGAAGGTAGAGCCATGCTCCCATTCTTTCTGTTGTTACCTTGCCCACTGTTGACCTTCATCACTCACTACAGAGTCTGCCTGTCGCTAGCTGACAGCCTTGGGACACATGCTGCAGACTCCAGAGACGGCTGGACTTTTCTAAACAAGTGTGGCGGGCGGGCACAGACAGAAAACCCTGAACATCCAGCCTAGAACTGGAACCACAGGCATACCTCAGGGCCAGGGACTGAGAAGTCCTGTTGTTCACCTTCTGGCAAAGGCCTGAGCATTTGTGAAAGTGGGAGGGGAGTAACAATCATCAAAGGGTCAAATTTGGTCAGGAAATGAAGGTAATAAATCAGCTTTTGGAAACGTCTTTACCATTCTGGTCTTTTCTATTGAGTCTCTTCTCTTTTTATCCTGATTCTTTGGAATGTTGAGGGCTACAGGGGAGGATGTTAAGGGTCCAATCCTGGAAACTAAGATAAAAGAAGGGGGCCAGGACCCCACATGGCCTTGTGGATCAAGATTTCCTCTGGACAGCTGAAGGGCCCCACTGCTGTGCAGGTGACCAGCAATGAACCTGGAAGGTTCCCCAAAGGCACAGGATGGCCTGTGGCCAGTCACTGTGTCAGCCATCCTTATCACTCCTGCCTGGCTCATTACTCTGCCCTCAGTGCCTGGCACTCTGTTTGGCACGAATCAATAGGCAAGAAACTGCCAGCACCAAGACAAGGCTGATGAGCTGGGAGTGTAGCTCAAAGGTACAGTGTTTGCCTGACATGTGCAAGGCCCTGGGTTCAATTCCCAACATGGCCATAAATTTAAAAATGCTGCTGAGGAACAACAAATCTATCAACTGTATTTATTCACTCTACCAAGAACCTAACCAGATAAGAAAAACCCTTAATGACAAGTATTGGATTTTACTGGGAATCAAATTATCCCATGAAACATGAGAGAGGGTAAAATGATCATGGAAATAATTTGTCTCTTTCAGCGGCAAATAACTAAAGACTGGAATCGGTGGGCTGAAATTCTAATTTATCTTTGGTGTTATGATAAAGGAATTCATGTTTTCTGAACTAATCAAGACATTAAGCCAGGTGTGATGGCTCATGCCTATAATCCAAGTAGCACTTGGCAGGAGGGACCCTACAAGTTCAAGGCTAGTCTGAGCTACATAGTGAGTTCTAGGCCAATCTGGGCTAAATAAAAATAGAGATCCTGTCTGAAAATAAATAAGCAGGAGCTAGGGAGATGGCTCAGGAGTTAAGAGCATTTGTTGCTCTTGCAGAGGACCAGGTCTATTGGATAGCGACAATCGTCAATTTGACACACCTGGGTAGAGGCAACCTCAATTGGGAATTTCCTCTATTGGATTGACCTGTAGACATGTCTGTGTGGCATTTTCCTGATCTTAAGTGATGCTAAAAGAGTGCAGCCCACTGTGATGGTGTCACTCCTGAGTTGCATAAGAAAGCAGGCTGAACACAGGCCAGAGAAGCAAGCCAGTAAACAGCATTGCTCCATGGTCTTTGCTCTGTTCCTGTTTCCAGGTTTCCCAACTTCCCTCAAAGATGGACAGTAGAGGGACTGTGCCTTGGAAGTAAAGATGACATGAACCCTTTCCTCCCCAAGTTGGTTTTGGTCAGTGTTTATCACAGCTAATAGCAAGCAAACTAGGACACTGGGATTTGGTTCCCACCACCACATGGTGGCTCACAACTAGCTGTACCTCCAGTTCCAGGCAATTAAATGCCCTCTGCTGGCCTCCATGTGCACCAGACACAAACATGATAAACACACACACATGCAGGCAAGCACTCAGAAACATAAAATAAAAATAAATCTAAAACCAAGCAAAAACCAAAGAACAAAATACAAGGCCACCAAAGACTAACAAGTTAAAAAACAAAACAAAGAAAAAAAGGTAAAGGATTCCTTTACCCCCTCACCCAGTCTACCACCCTACTGAGATTTTGCAAGGCTTCCCCAGTGCTTTGGGCTCACCTATGTAGTGAACTAAAACCACCTCTGCTCTGTGGGAACCCGGCAGTCTTGGCCCCACTGGATTAGAAGGCATCATCTGCACATCATGTACCAGGAAGCCAAGAATGAGCACACGGAAGATAGCTCCAGTTACAAGCACTGCTCCCTGCCTTCCTAGAGAGTCTGCAGACTCCTCTGATCCCTTCAGACTCTTCCAGGGTCAGCGCCACTGTGGCGTCCCTGAGCCGGCCCTTCCAGCAGCTGGGACTGCCCAAAGACCACCTGCATAGAAGATCTGGGTCAGGACCTGCCTCCGCACCCCAGAATCCTAGAATCCTCACGCTGAAGTACCGGGGCCTAACGGTTCACCACTGTATGAGTTCACAGCTAACAGAACTTTCCACCTTTTTCTTTCTTTTATGAGATAAGGCCTCACGTAGCCCATTTTGGTTTAGAATTCCCTATGTAGTAGCCA